CCCGCCGCATTCGAGCGGACCCTTTCCATCTTGGCCAGTTACTTTCCATGGACACGGCCAACCAGTTGTTCACCCCCTGTAGATTAGATTCTCCTCGCGGTCATAGCAAAAACTGTTTAAGCGTCGGCCGCGCACCCGAGTTCGTCACCGGTTCTTTACCCATAAAGTCATTGCTTCATGGAACAGCCTCCCGCAGGAGGCTGTTGACGCGATTTCAAAGAGCATGTTCAAATGTAAGCTTGATATCTTCCTTGGTCTTAAACACGCTACCACCAACTTTCATTAGCTGCTCCCTATCGATCTGTTCATCTACATCTACATCCACCACGTTCTCGTTTCAAATGCATTTATCCCAACTGCACTGAGTCATAATTTTTGTTGTTGTTCTGTATTTTTGTGCATACAAAATAAAAACAAAAAACAAAAACAAAATAAAAACGTAAAAAATAGAAAACCTTTTTGAAAACTATACGTCATAACACAGTTTGAGCAGAATCAATATAGACCATGAATATCGCCTGCTCTTAATAAGCTGTCTAAGCACATCAAATAGGTTGAATTTTATCACAGGAATACCATATATTGACATTGACATAATTACATGGGTTCAGGAAGAGGCACTGGGTTGTTGAGTCATTACCAAAGTTTTGGGTATGGGTGAAAGAGGAGGAGGGGAACGTTGGCATAGAAGCAGTTACGTAATGGAAAACGATAAGCCGTTGTGGAAGGAGGGTTGGACATGATTATGAAATACGAAAAGATACAACCAGAAATTAATTCGAACAGACGTAGAAAAAGCAACGCAGCTATTGTATGCACTTATCCTGCCTCGAAGCTGATCATGATTCACAAGACAGTGGACTCATAAATTCGGTCAAGTATACACGGATCCAGTGATTATGTCACCTCCAATTGCATTTATCTTTTTCAATGTACTTGCGGTTCGCGGTAAGTCAGAAGGACTGAACGCCGGCTGCCGATATTTGCTGGATACCGGACGCTGCATTGACAAACGCATAGCTTTCCGCTTTAGGTTCTCATAATTCAAAATGTTTTTTTCAAACGTTTTCTTTTATTTGGGGTGAGTAGATAAACCCAAGTGACGGTCAAAACAAAGTTTGAAAACCCCCATGCTGGGGGGGCTGACTATCACTTCTGGAAGGGCATTCCATAAGAATATTGTAGGCATTGACTTATCGATACCCCGAGCTAATACGTATATGCTGCAAACGAAAAGTCGCACAAAAACAGAACGCGACGATTCAAGAAACGGACGACGGGTTGTATTGTTACGACCTGCAGAGCAAAAGGGAGGTACGAAAGCGTGAGCAAGCGTACGGAAAGTGAATTCAAACACGTGTTGACCAAATATGTGGCCTTAGTGTGATAAAATAATAAGATGCACAGGAGGAAGGGTACATGTAGAATGGGAGTTGGTTGGTCACTACAGAGCTCCCCCTCCTAGAAGACTCGAGAGAGCCTTCGATAAGGGTGTATGCATTGTTTGCCGGGGTTTTCAGGTCCGAAAAATAGGATCGCTTGGTGTGCTGCCACGGAAAGTTTGGGAATCAGCTGTCAAAGTAGCTCCAGGTGATGTGGCAGGGGTTGCTGGCCCACAAAAGAAATGTGGGGAAAGGGAATTTCATGGAAAATCGTCTGCATTTCCGTCGTCGTTTCGCTACTTGCCCCGTTTTGGTTTGTCTTTAGAGAAAATAGGAGGACCCTTCGCAGCTGGGTACGAACCAGTAAAAACTGATCGGGCTGTCAGAAAAAGGTCTTTGACACCCATTTTGAGCTGGATCGGTGGGGAGGGTGGAGAACGTGCCAATATTCTTTCTTGCTGCGTTCTCCTCGTCAAAGTTTGCTTCGCGGGTTTTGGGGTCTCTGCGTTTCTTGGCCAAAGAATTCCTCCCGAGTTTTGAATGCTGAGCGTAGAAGAAAACGGAAGAAAGAAGGTCGGAGCAGCACTTGCTTGAGCTGATCGGTGGGGCAAAGACAAACACAGTAACAATGGGCAAAATTCATTTTTTAATGTGTATATATGCATACAGAAAAACGTGAACCATGGTAAAAAATAAAAACAATGAACAAAGATTTAGGGGGGTTATGCATGCATATATGGACTCATAGGTAAAAGAAAAAAATATTGATATCGCAGACTAAATGATTCTGTATACTGGTAAGTGTAAAACGTGCTACAAGGTAAAACGTACAGGTGAATTATGGAGTCTCCCGCGGCTAGTGATCCGATGGGGTGGGTCAGGATCAGGTGCCTGCTCCAAGGGTGTCGCCGCATTTACCGGAGTGGAGGGAGCAGGACTTGTCGGGACGGGAGTTGTGGGTAGCGAAAGGGGTGAGGGAACAATAATGGCAGTGACGTTTTCCTCCAAGTGTGCAGGTTTGAGTAGGTCAGTACTGACGGCCTCACGCTTACCGTTGAGCTGTATGACGTGGGCTTTCTCTAAGCGTCGCAGTATCTTATATGGTGCACGAACCTCTGTCCTGAGGAAAACGTGCGAGCTTTCGGCTAATCGAAGGGGGAAGTAAGCTAGTGCGTTTGCTGGCGAAGTGGTTGAATATGCAACTGGCGCATACGATGTACTAAACGAGCTGCATAGTCACTGTAGTTGAAGTCAGTTGGTTGAGTCGGTTCCACCATTTCTCCTGGAAGACGTAATGTGCGACCGAAAGTCAACTCTGCCGATGTGGACTGCATATCAGCTTTGAAGGCTGATCTGCAACCTAAGAGGATTGGAGGTAGAGACTCCTCCCAGTCTGGATTCACCTGTGCTACCAGAGCACTTTTCAGTTGTCGATGGAAAAGCTCGAAGATCCTGTTGGCTGTCGGGTTGTAAGCCTTCGCCTGGAAGCAGAGAATGCCTAGATGCTTAAGTAATAGTGCGAAAACAACCTCGAAGTGAGAACATATATCGGTTGTAACTTTTGCAAGACAACCGAAGCTAGCTATCCAACTCTCTACGAAGGCTTGTGGCGCTGCTTCACTGGATGCGGAGGACAAGGGCACAGCTACCGGCCACCGGGTGAAACGATCTATACAGTTGAGTGAATAGATACACCCTTTCGATGGTGGTAGGGGTCTCACTAAGTCTACGTGGACGCGGTGGAAATGTTCGTCAACGACTGGAAATGAACTTAGTGGGCTCTTTGTGCGAAGAAGGACAAGCACTGGTATGCCCATTGGCGGATGTCCTTTTGGATGTTGTGCCACACGATCAGTGATGAGTTTCACTGAGGCGCGGATGCCTGGGTGTGACAAGTTATGCAGTGTCTCGAAAACCTTTCTGCGTAAGGTTGATGGGACTACTGGTCTAGGGTGACCTAGAAAGACGTCGCAGTATACTTTGTTGTCTGAGGACGGAAGTGGCAAGTGTTCGCTGCGCAGCATAGATTGCTTGCGCAGTCGCTCAATATCAGTGTCGTTGGTTTGCACTGTGGCTATGTCCTGTAAGTCAATTGCTTCTGGGTAAGGATTACTCAGGTGGTGGCGACAGGGTTGTTGATACCAGAGATATGTCGTATATTGCACGTACATTGTGTGATAC